TTGAATGGTGGCAAATCATTCCATGCATGACTTTGTCTTGTGTTCAAAATAAAGACACAGAAATAAAAATCAGAACATTTCATGCCCTGAAAATTTAAAAAAGCATGACATGGAGGAGCCCAAAGTCTATACTCATTGCTTTAAGATGGTATTCTTAGAAACCAGACGTTCCACAAGCAATGGACTTGCAGCTGCACTTTGGAAGTGCTGTTTAATTGGCCAAGGTTTGAAGAGGGGTAGCTTTCAATATTTGGCCATCAGCACATTTTCTTTACTCTCTTTTTCCTGGACTGAGCTTCCTGTAGAGATAGATTTTATCTTGAACTTTCAAGAAAAGGATGATGAGTGGGAGGGAAGGTTAAAAAATTGGTTTAAGAAAAAGGCATGAGATAAAGTAATGAGAAGAAAGACAGCTGACAGAAACCCTTTCAGTGACGGGCATAGAAGAGATGTTGGCCATGGTGACTGGGGAGTTTCATGTGATCTGTGAGGCGGTAAAGACAGGTTGAATGAAGGCCATTTGGCAATCTTGGCTTAATACCCATAGGTGACCAAAAATCTTAATTTTTTCTCAAACTCATGACTATAATTACCTCTTGTTGATGGCAGGGACATTTTTAGAAACAATGTGTTTCAAGGATTGAATTATCTTGTTCTCTTTCATTGTCTGCCTCTGGAACCAGCCATAGAAGCCACAGATAAGGCAGTAACAGGTTTTAAATCATTTCTTTTTTAACTAGGCCTTGGATTATTACTTTTAATAAGCATGTTTCAATAAGTATGAAGGTTATGAAAAGCATGCAGTGAGTATTAAAAGAGCTTTCAAGGTGATCATTTCAAAACCAATTTCAGGTGATATTTATTAGAAGATGAGAAGAAGCAGCCACACATTTCAAAGTGGAAATACCAGAGTCTCACAAAGCTCCTTTAGGGCTTACATTAGAAAATCACCTTGCACATGAGAGCATTTCCTTCTCATTGTTGGCTGTAGTGTGTTTTTCAGGGCTGAGGTAGACCTGGTGACTGAAGCCTGAAGGTGTATTGGTAGGTCATGCTGAGAGAAGCCTCAGACCTCCTGAGTTACCAGATGGGCACAATTCATGTCACTAAACTGACATCTGCTGACTCAGATTTGGTGTCTGCTGGCTGGAGTGTCATTGGAATGGAGTGAATCTCCGTTTCCAGTGCATAAACAAACACTTGAACTCTTATGTCCACATTGACAGATTAGAGATTTTTATAAAGTTTGCTGATGGTTCCTTTCCATGACCTCCACCAAATCAACCCAAACCATAGACATAGCTTTCAAGTAAAGTATCACTGATGCTATACCATGAACTAATCTGTGTATTATATTTGAATTGCTTTGTTTTTCCACCTAATGTGCTTTTACTATCCAGGACCCAGGACTGAATCTGGTGTTTCCTTGTCATCTCCCTTATGTCTCCTCTCCTGTGTGACAGCTTCTCAATATTGCTTTATTCTTTATAACCTTGACACATGTAAAAAACAATGGCCAGTAATTTTGTAGAATGATTGTAATATTTATCTGATATTTCCTCGTGTTTAGAGTGAGTTTATACACTTCTAATAGGAATACCCCGGAATAGTGTGTACAGGTTGAATGGGATCAGAAGACTGATTACTAGTACTGTTAACTTTGATCAGTGGTTAAGGTTTTGTGTCTGCCTACTTAAAGTCAGTATTTTTGTCTTTGTAACGAATGAATATTTTGGGGGAAGATGCTTTAAGAATAGACAGGTATCTTGTTTTTATCTTATTTTCATCTATTAAATTTAGCATCCATAGGTTTGTTCCAACTTGCAATCATTATTTCTTCATGATTTGTCTTATGGTGATTTTCTGTTTCCACCAGTGCTTTTGTATTAATTGTAATTTTACTATTAGGGATAGCTGACCTAATAGGATTCCTTTCCTTTTATTTATTTCATCTCAAAATGGAGCTTTACTTTAGTCTCTCGGTTTATATAATACATTATTATTATTACTCATTTTTGTACTTAAATTGTTCAGATTTGACCATGAGAGCAATTTTAAGTTAGCACCCAAGCCTTTTGACATACTCCCTTAGGGAATGACCAGTTTCTTATTTTATGGTCCTACAAAAATACATTCTTAGCTTGCTTTACATTTTTTTTTCTGCCCCAAATCTGAAGACAAATATTTCTTCAGAGAACCCCAGTTCTCGTTACAGGGTAATGATATTTAGCAACTGAGATCTCTTTGCGTTCACTGTTGTATAAGAGTGTTGGCTTGCAGGCTTTTTCAGTAGATGGAGTTAGGAAAATACACTTATATATACTTATGCATGTACACACTCATTTCTTTAACCATCTTGGTATGGATTAAAACTCATGAGTAAATACTGATGCCTCAAATTCTGATTAAACATTGGGGGCATTTATTAAGAAAGTTCTTATAATTATTGTAAGTAAAAATTCTCTTTGATTTGAAAATTATCTAGCCTTATGACTCACCTCAAGATTAGCATTTTAATCTTCACACTCATGATGAGAAGCCCCTTACTCCATGTTCCATTTGACATCTTCTTGATCTAAGCTCCGTCTCTATCTAATAAGAAGTGGATTTCCCAGCAGTTTCACAGGACTATGTGGCATGTCCTGATGGGCAGTCATGCTTCTCTAAGTCTCAGATGGAATAAGAGTGTCCTGCGTCTCGGTTACAATTTATAGCCTCTCCAAAGTGATCCAGATTTTAGTGACCAAGGTCTTTCCATGTTTAGATCATAAGTATGACTCATGTGCCCCTGGGATGCAGACCTAGGTTAGTTTTTATTGCTCCCAGAAGAGCATATGGATGTATTTAGATTATTTCAGTGCCTTAGAATTCAGAATATGTCTCCTAAATATCAAATTTCTAGTGACTTTTAAATCTTTTTGAGCTGAGAGGTATGGAAGGGGCCAGAACCTACGAAAGCTGTACCCAGTAGGCATTGGCACGTAGGTATGTGGGAGGAAGAGAACTAGCTCAAGGACATCCTATAACCCATAATTTAGCTTATTTTTACTTGGAACATATCCATGTCTCAAAGATCTGTTTCTTTGGGCAAAGTTCAAGAAGCATTATGATTGTACTCTGAAGATGTGTATTAGTGGTCATTCCTTAGACTGCCTGCCTCAGCACAATGGGACATACCACTGGCCATTACATTAACCTCAAGAAATTTAAAAGGATCAATATCTTACAAAGTATGTTACTTGATAACAAATCAAACTAGAAATCAATAGTAGAAAGATATCTAGAACATTCCAAAATATCTGGCAATTAATACGATTTTTCCTTTACTGCTAAGAATGAAAGATTCTCTTACTGAAAATAGAGATAAAATAATAAGCATAAAGTAAAAGCAAGTACCTAAAGGCAGACAGATTTTGATGACAAATACTCATAGAAAGGGCCACTACGTGAATATGTGTTTCCGATTTTGGGAAACTTAGCTAGGTGCCATGCATAAGGTAACTACCAGGGTCTGGTGTGAGCAAATGGCTTTGGAAGAATGGAGAGCACAAAAAGACCAGAGTCCTAGTATGTAGTTAGTTACATCATGGTGGGTACGTACTGCACATTGTAGGTAGTAGTTCAAAAAAGGAAAAAGAAGCTTAAAAGCTTAAGGGAATTAGAATTTTATAACTCAGAATTTAATTGACTAGCTAAGACAAAGCATTTTGATATCCGGGAGGTCTAAATGAGAATTTCTAACAATGAGGTAGGAAAAGAATGGGAAATTTTAGATCACGGAATTCAGAATATGGGCCAGTGGGGACAATGCAAATTTCTAGATAGATAGGAGAAGTGGTAACACTGAAGGATTGGTTTCTAATATAAGAGCTATTTTTCATCAATAAGTAAAACAAAACCAAAAGTACTTTTCCACTAGTTTTTTCTAGAAAAATAGCTCTGTCTTAGCAATTAGAGTTCATTACCAGTCCACCTCCCACCCAACAGTTTAACTAATACACTTTACAGAATATACCTTGATATCACTTTGGTTTGTGAGTTTTTGACATTTTTAGCTTCTGGTTATTTGTTTTATGCCTGTGTCACGTGGATCTATCATGCTGTCTTCTCTTTCTAACACAAGCAAAGCCCTGCACCCCACGGTGAGGACAGTAGTTGAAAGAACACTTGTGAAGGTTGAATGAAGATTGGAACCATTCATTACTTCATATGATTAAACCTCAGCAGCAGAGCTCAGAGCTGATTCATAGTTAAGAATCTGGTTTTCACAGTCAGTAATGCAGAGTTTCACTAGAAGTCTGATTAAAAAAACAAATCTTTTGAAATGTCACCAACATAAAATCCGTGACAGAAACAATAGAAGTAGGTATTTCATTAAAATATATTCTTAACAGAATAAAAGCCTAAGATCAGAATATTGGTAGAAAACATACCAGCTTTATGGTGGCAATAAATTTGGAACTTGTCACACTTTATATTTGCCATTAGTCCATCTTTGTTGAAGCCAAGAAAGTGGAACTGATTGGGCTGATGTTGCACGTTGGGTGATGTAGTTTTATGAGTCTTGAGTAGTAGAATTTTTAAGTGAGGACAGCTTTAGAGTGATGCAAACATCTTAAGTATTAAATTTTGCCACGAAAGCGCTTATATCATCTTACAAAGACTTATTGGCACCATGGATGAAGATTTGTTGCAACTAACATTTTTGCTTCTTCTCTGTGTCTTCGCCAGGTGACAGTTTTATGTCGTGCTGCTGGGTCCTGTCTTTAACAGGTCTGGGGAGCTGTGTCTGAACTTAATCATGTCACCCTCTAGTGAGAGATGCTAAAGCGTTGCGATGGGATTCCTGCTCCTTGTCACAGAGTGCTGTAGGAATTGTAATTTTAATAAGCTGCCATACATAGCAGTCTCTGGGCACCTTGCCCCGCGGCCTGCCAGCTCTGGCCTGCAGGTTTCTTCGCCTCTGATGGTTGTTTCTCCCCCGTCCTTCCTGCCCGCAGACATGCCTTGAGCTGGAGCGCTACCTGCAGACCGAGCCCCGGCGGATCTCGGAGACCTTTGGCGAGGACCTGGACTGCTTCCTGCATGCCTCTCCTGCGCCCTGCATCGAGGAGAGTTTCCGGCGCCTGGACCCACTGCTGCTGCCCGTGGAGGCCAGTCTGTGTGACAAAAGCTCCGCCGTGGACATCCTGCTGTCCCGCGACAAGCTGCTTTCAGAGACCTGCCTCAGCCTGCAGCCCACCAGCTCTGCCCTGGACAGCTACACGGCTGTCAACCAGGCCCAGCTCAACGCAGTGACCTCATTAACACCCCCATCGTCCCCAGAGCTCAGCCGCCACCTGGTCAAAACCTCACAGACCCTGTCGGCCGTGGACGGCACGGTGACTTTGAAACTGGTGGCCAAGAAGGCCGCACTCAGCTCAGTCAAGGTGGGGACATCGGCGGCCGCAGCAGTGGCACCGGCCGGGGCGGCCAAGAGTGGACAGAGCGACAGCGAGCAAGGAGGGCTAGGGGCCGAGGCGTGCCCCGAAAACAAGAAGAGGGTGCACCGCTGTCAGTTTAACGGGTGCCGGAAAGTGTATACAAAAAGTTCCCACTTAAAGGCCCACCAGAGGACTCACACAGGTAGTGGTACAAGTTGGCCGCATGTGGCTGCTTCCCTTGCGGTGGGAAGGGCTGGCTGGTCCCGAGAAGTGGCCTTGGAGCTCAGTGGCTGGGGTACAGAGGCAGGGGCCCTGGGTAGGGCGGTATAACCACCTTGTCCTCACCCTGGGGCTCTCAGGAGGCCCCCAGCACAGGACGCGGGTTTGTGGCCGGCTGGCTGAGGGCTGTTTGCAGAGGTGATGCCAAGTACCATGGTCTCAGGTTGCCAGCAGGGAGCTCTGTAGTGTGACTCACAGACTGCATTCAGGATCGGAACCTGGTCCCTCCTGTCCTTGTCTTAGGAAGATAGCACTGCAGGTTTGGTCAGCGGTATACTTGAAAGCATTCACGGTGAAACAGGAAGCCAGGCTGTCTCCTATTCTCTCCTTTCCGGGCATCCCTGATTTTTCATCAAAGTCACCAGCAGCAGGAGGGTTTCAGAGTTCATTAGATGTGATCATTCTATAATTAATTGGCATCTCCTCTCCTGCATTGTTCTCTGGCACGTGCTGTATGGAGAGATGGCAGAATTGCTTTTTAATGAGCTTGTTACTGAGAAGTTGCTAAAGTGATTACATTGCTGTGTGTGTGGCAAGGGTGGGTGGTGGAGGGATGGCACTGTGTATTGTACTCAGAGCTTTGCCGGCAATTCCAAGGAGTCACATTGATCTTTTGAGCAATGGGATCGTGTGGAAGCAAAGGGATTACACAGAACAGAGGGAGACTGGCATTTTCCATAAGGCCGGGCTTTGTTCTCTTCTTCGAGGTTGGTGCTTGGGGGCGGTCTCTGTGCTTGGTGTTCTAGTGTGCTACTAGGAGCAATTACTGAGAGTGGTGGTTTTTAAGTGGGTCACTAACAGTGTATGACTTGTGTGGCTTTTGCTTACTGCCTGCACACGGTGAGCTGAATGGAGAAACTCCCCCAGTGTGAGTGGCATAATAAGAGTGTTTCCAGAGAGAAGTAGGTGCTAGCACATGGGGCAGTGGAGGGTCTGGAACTCGGGCCCTGTGGGCTGGGCCTCCAAGGTGGGGTGCACAGATGGCTGGGAAATCAGAGCCATCTCCGTTCTAGTCCTCACTGTCACTCACTAGCTCTGTGACCTTGAGTGTGCTACTTTATCTCTCTGCACCTCATTTTCCACATTTTTCAAACAATCTGGCTCTTATCCTTTCCCCTCTGATGTCTTGGTGATCTGTGAAATATCTTTGTGCGGCACTGAGGAACTTCTCTAAAGTGGGAAGGCATAATACGTGACTTGAACAAATCGCTCTTTTGAAGATCAAAGTTACTCCCATGGGATGATCAGAACTGATGTTGCCTCCTTACAAGCAGGATTTAGACTCCTAATCTTGTAATTCTGAGCTTAGTTTCCCTTTGCCTCTTGCTTTGGGGATAGTCTCCTAACAATCCAGGAACGCTGCGTCTCAGGGGTCGAGTTCCATTCGTGGATTTCCATCAGAATTTGGGTTCTACCTCCCTGTTCCACATACACCGAGACCAAGGCTTCCTATCTTTGCCACTGTCTTTCCTTCTGTCTGATGTTGTCCTGAAAGTGCCATTCATCTATTTTTATTTCTTTCTGAAGTCACTGAGTTAATGACAAGCATCACAGCTCTCTGGTGCTTGTTGCATGACTCAACTCTCATCTCAGCCCCCTAGAAATCAGAGAAAGGATGAGGCAGGAATGTTGGGATATGCTGGGGCTGTGGAATTCAAGGCTGTGGACGCTGCCTGAGTCACACTAAGAGAGGCTGCACCCTGCTCTGTGTGGAAGCTGGACAGCAGTGCAAGGGGCAGGGGTTCTTTCAGGAGAACTCAGGGAACATTTTTCTGCTTTCTGTCCCCACAGAGGCATCGAAGGGTAACTTTATGCCTGATGCTTCATATAGTGCTTTGGCTTTTGATCATCAGCTGCTCGGAGCAATGACCCAGGCAAGGCCTGCCATCCCACCTAGCCCCTGCAGCTACCTGCCTGCAGGGATGGCTCTGGAGAGACTCCTCCTAGAGGAGGAGCCAAGCACCCTCAGGAAGGCAGCACTATAGGGTAATCCAGAGCCGGGCAGCTCTTATGTCCTTGGGGTTTGGCTCTACCACTTCCTAGATTGAGGACCTGCTGAAATTATTTATCTTTTCTGAGGCTCAGTTTCCCCAGCTGTAAAATAGGGACAGTTTCATTTATGTCACAGAGTGTGCTGAAGATCAAGGAAGCAAATTACTTGCCAGATAGTGAGAATTAGAGTGGTAGTGGGGTTGTTGTTATTACTGTTGTTGTTTGCTGTTGTAGTTCTCATAGATTGCTTAGAAGATTAAGCACACGGCATGGCAGATAGTAAGAACTCATTAAAGGTAATACAGGTAGGGCTGTTACAGTCATTACTATTGCTTTTGATGATAGTTACTACTATTGTTACCATTAATTAGTGGTAACTGAGTGAAAAGCAGATTTATGTAAACTAGAAATGGGCCAGTGGGCCAGAGTTAAATACAGATTGAGTACCCATGATTTGAAAACCCAAAATTTAAAAGGTACTGCCAAGTCCCAAATTTTGGAGAGCCCATGTGACTCCACAACTAGAAAATTCCACATCGGACCTCATGGGACCAGTCATAGTCAAAATGGAGTCATACTAAAAATCAGACTATGAAAAATAACTATAAAATAAAACATGAATAAATTTTATGCTTAGATTTGGGTCCTGCCTCAAGATACCCCATATGTATGCAAGTATTCTAAAATCAGGGGAAAAAATGACAAATCTGAAACACTTCTGGCCCCAGTCATTTCAGATGAGGGTTATGCACAGAAAGTAAGGTTTTCTTTCTCCATTTTTGATGGCTCCTCAGTGGGATTGGGGGTGACAGTGTTCCTAGACCTGGCCGTGGAAGCATCAGCCCACCGTCATGGGGAAAATGGCTTTCCAGAGAGAAGGCAGGAAGCATTTTGCCTGTGGAACCTTCCTCACAGACTGCATGGAAAGAAAGCTAGGTGGTGTAGGGAAGAGAAACTGAAGACAGGGGAGGTGAGAATGGGAAGGGGGGATCCGAGAGAGAATATGAATTAATTTAGATTTAATGGATGAGAATCATAAGTATTTATTTGGAATTAGTGTGAATGGGGAACTGAAAACAAAGGTGATAATTTATGTGGTGTGGATGAACTCAGAATAATGGAAAAAGCATGAAGAATGAAATCAAATTAAGTGCAAACATATAAAGAAAATGGACTGGTAAAGGCTCTCAGGCAAAGGTAGACGGCAGTGGGAATCGGGTGGGAGAGAGACTGCTGATGTGTGGAGTGGAGTAGTGGGAGCTGCTGACCAAATTTTGAAATGAAGTTTTAAAAGTGGGCTCTGGATGGATCGAGGCAAAGTATTTTAGCGCATGATTCACTTCATTCAGTGGAAATATTTCTCATTTTTCATTTGGAGAGGTATTTTGGGATGGAAAAAAATATCATCCCAGAGAAAGGGGAGCTCTGGCATTTTGTTCTGGGGAGTTATATATATGCCATATCTCTTTTATATGGTAATGTGTTACAAAGGAGGAGACACAGTTGCGAAAGATGAAGTGAAATAAAATAAAATGTGCCAGTCTCCACCTTCCCTGCATAAAGAAAGACAATGCATGAATCAGGACATGGGTTTGTTGCACTGAAGAATTCTTAAAAGTTGTTATTCCTTTAATCTTTATATGGACAGAATTTACTGAGCTGGAAGAGGGAGGCATATTTTTTGCCTCCTCCTGTGGGTGTTTTTTTAAAGGATGCTGAATCCTCCAATCTTCTTACCCTGGAGGATATTAAGCAATGAGGTGATCTTTTTCTTAAGGTAGCAGATGTTCAGTTTGGTAGCTGGGTGCAAGCACTAGTTGCCCAAGGAGATAGAGTTAGGGATGGGGGAGCCAGGTGGAAGGAGCCGAGGCAGAGAATGAGACAAAGGGTTATAGTGAAGTAGCCCGATCGTGGTGAAGGACAACACAGACGTGGCGTGTGGTTTATTCATGGGCGCGATCACTTAGGACTGGCCCACGCATAAAAATGTCCTCTCGCAGCCAGGGCATTGCCCACCCTCAGCCTCACTCTGTTTTCTGGTCCGCTATAATATATTTTTATTTCTCAGTAATTCAACTGCTGCCATCATAGTTTTTATCTGTCTTCTTAGAATCAGCCAAGTACACCCTTCCATTGTGATACAAGGGGAACCTTCATGGTGAGAAATAAAACAAAACAAGCCCTCTCTCTTAGGCTCATTTTCAGCCAAACACATTTTGTTAAAAATCTTAGTGGTTTCTATGCAAAAAGAGAAAGAACTTCTCCCTATATTTCTTCTTGATCTTTTCTCAGAAGAAAGAAAAGCCTGGAATTGAAATGGTCCTTTATGCTATGTGAGCAGACTTTTTAAGTTTGAAAATTCATATAAAAGCAGGTCAACATTTATTCTCTGAAGGGCGGACTGTGTTGGTAAAATGAAGAAACAGGTCAGCACTTAAATCTTGGGTTGTTGGTCACCGCGAGGAAGCTGTGTTTGCTTAGGTGCCACTGAGGGGGCTCCTACAGACTCCAGTGCGGTGATAGTTTTTGCAGGAGGGTAATGGGATGCCTTTTAGATGGGTGGTTCTACAAGTGGGGTTTTATATCTGCTACGGGGCAGGTCTTTTTTGAATCAAGAGGTGGCAACTCTTTTAAGTTCAATGAAGATTTGTAGTTTCTTTGCAGATGGCTAAAAACCTTTTAAATAAAAGGACAAGGGTAGTGTTTGGGAGGGAAGCCAAAGCACCTATGTGGCATGCATAATGAAGGTTCTTGAAAATTTGAAATGGATTTTATTTTACCCATTTCACAGATACTTAATAAAACACTTGCTGTGCGCCAGGTACTTTTTGTGTCTTTTATAATACTAATAACCCTTTTAACTATCAAATTAAGTGACATAGGTGCTCTCTTGTTTTGTTTACAGATGAGGAAAATGAGAGGCAGCACCTG